TCTCTTAGGTATACTCACCTCTTCACGGAAGAGATCCCGTTTCTGCCGCAGTGCATTAACCCTCCTTTTAAAAGTAGCACAAAGAGAGCAGTATTAAAAGTGCGGTGACTGTGAGACTAAAGGTTCAGAAACACTTAAGATGCCATACAGACACAGTCACGTTGATGGACTAAATGATTCTCAAGGAAATGGTTTAATGGTTACACAGCAAAACATTAGACCAAACACTTAACATCTTATCAGTGGTTACATAACTTGACACTGTCTCTCTACTTAAAAGCTCCATGTAATAATGGATGTTTGATAAAGTTCACCAGTTTTTAAAGGTACAATCAAACTGCAATCTATTAACACATTTGTAAAAGTCATGAAAGCGCCCAAACAAGAGGTTTAATACCTATAAAACACATACCTGGGGAGTTTATTTTCTGAGTTTGATTCCTGGCAAATAAATCCTGTCAAAAGTAAAATGATATCAATGTAAAATCAATCATATTTATAAACTTATCTTATTAACCAAGTTCAGTCTGTAAATATTGCATTAGATCAAAAAACGACTATGTTATTAAATAAACCATTGTATGCTATAACTACGTAGGTGAGCTGCTCCATCTTTAGTCTAATAGTCTTAGGATAAGATTTTGTAAATTGTAAGTAAACTGCACATTTTTTGAAGCTTAAGATTGATTTACATAATACACAATTCAGAGTTGACAGAAATTGCATTAAATAGCCTAACTTCCCAGACAAATTTTTACCATGGTAAATAGGCTACATTTTCTGCAAAAAAACACATTTATAAATTATTCTGGGATCTCTTTCAAAAAGTGTAGGTTTTCAGAATCTTTAAATGTATTATGGCTAAAACATTATTACCACAATTTTACTGTTGTAGGATAAATAAATAAATAGAAGGATATTTCAGGAATTTTTAGAAAGGTTACCTATTAATTTTTTTGGGGGGGTACGCATGGTTCAGAATAAAAATGATAGGCTACTTACCTTGAAGCACAAATAGCTTGAAAATGAAAAGTGTACAGAGTGAAAACAGTTTAATGTCCCGCTGTTCGTTCATCTCAGAGCGACGGACGTCTTTCAACGATCATGAAATTACGAGTTTCATTTTAGGAGAATCGATTGAAATTCTCAGTTGGAAAAATATTCTTATAGGATTAATCAAGTTAAAATCTAGGAGGTACGATTAACAAACTACTGTGATTTGTCCCAGAGTAGTGAAGGATAAACGTCCATCTTCTGTACAGTCAGAGGAGGATGATGATGATGTACCTGCGCGCACCTGCGGCATCAGGAAGACGGAGCGCACCTGCGCGCACGAGCACTCATACCTGATGGAATGGCATAAAGATCAGGTGATAGATAGCCTATTCCAGTTGCTGGTGAAGTATGACCATAAGTTTACTTTAACTTCACAATGGTTTGGACAGTTCACAGTTTATTTATTAGATTTTTCATATTTGTATCCTTATAGCCTACTGAGGATATTGTCTTGCTGAATTGAATCGTATAGGCTAGTAATTCGTCGGTGTACCCGTCCGTTACAGATCCTAAAAGGAATAAGAGCTCGCGCAGCGCCTGTTGCATTGTGTTTCCTCCTGAGGTGAACGCGACTTCTGTTCGCGAGCGTCTACTGTGCTAACCTCTAATAATCTAATTTTTTGTTATTCAAATTTGGGTAAGAAATAATAAATGATTATCAAGTGGTCGACATTTTAAGATCTTTTTTGTAAGTAGCCTATAATTTTTGGGGGACAACTGCTGTCTCTTTTAAGAGTTTATACACAAAACATATACTGGCTAAAAGGTCTAACAAATTAATGTAATGACAGCACTGTTGTTATTTTTTTAACTCGGGTCCCAGCGGAAATTGTTTAAGTTACTGTTGCTTTGGTTACTTCTATGTCTTTTTCAATGTGCTGATCACATAAAGCGAATATTGCACACAAATGACATTTTATAGTTTGTACTAAATTGATCAGTTTCTTTTTTGGTATTCACCCTCTGCTTATGAACTGATTTAATCCATCATACCTGATCAATTATATTTTCCCTCTATTCAATCTCCCCTCTATACAAATAGGCATATAGCCCATTTTAAAATGAATAAATCTATACTATTATTATTATAGTTTTATGATCTCATAAGATATTAGGCCTATTTGTACTAAAGTGTAATTTGTCACACCACAGAAGAACTATTGAAGTGAATTTTACAACAGCATAATTTGATTAATAGTGATCATCATAAACGTAGACGTGAATTTAACACAAAATCTTGATGTTAATATCTAAAACGTTCATGTCCATGGTAACTGTCAAGTATCCGGTTATAGATCTAAATATAATGCAAATTTTACACTAGATATTTACCCTCCAAACCAAAACCGAACACGCACCTCAAAGCACTGCTTTGGCGCGCATAGTCCATTCGAATAATGACATCATCGAGGCGCGCCGGGGTCCATTGTTATTTGCGTACGGGGAATAATGGCGATGTGCACAATATTACGATGTGCCTCTGTTAGTTTGACCTCCTCTCTACCTCGACTCTCAAGCAGAAATTCTCTGACTCCAGCTAGACTACTGGCGAGGACATGCTATAAAAGGTTCCTGAACACAACCGCTCCATTTTGCGCAGGTATCCACACTTATGAAAGTTTACAAGCGCCACGCGTGAAAGTTTGTGATCACATTGATATTGACAAGTAAAATTGAGTAACGTTTCCTTCAAATGCCAGATACGCTAGAGTCTGTCTGTAAAATGCACTGATCTTGCAATCATTTCAATTGCTTCACTACGGCAGTGATCACCCCAGTTATAATTGAACTGCCTTGCATTACAGTTTAATGCATTTTTATGTCCATTTATAAATCTTGATTGTTTACGCTGTTACCTGATTCGTCTGAGACCCAAACAAGTCTGTTTTCTCTGTGTCATGCAGCACTAAAGTTCACAGACAAACACGAGTGGGTTCGCGTGGACAGTGGTGTGGCAACAGTGGGCATCAGTAATTTTGCTCAGGTTAGGCGAGTTATTAATGCTTATTTTTTTATATAGAAAAAGGTATATAAACTATATAGGCTGTATTTTCATGTTTATAATTCACTGTTCTCAGGAGGCTCTAGGGGACGTTGTCTACTGTGGGCTCCCTGAAGTTGGTGCAAATTTATCACAGTCAGGTAAAACTATTTTTATGTAAGCATAAGAGAGTACATTCTCAGTATGAGTTAATTGTTATAGTTAGTTAAGCAGATGATAAATTGTGAATGTTCTGATAATCTGAATTGTAGATGAATTCGGTACTCTGGAGAGTGTTAAAGCAGCGAGTGAGTTGTACTCACCTCTAACGGGGGAAGTGACCGAAGTCAATGATGCCCTGGCGGACAACCCTGGACTGGTCAACAAGTCTTGCTATAAAGATGGTGAGACATTCCTCCAAACTTGTTTTTTACACAAACCAGCCTGAAATCTTTTAACTTCTTGTGACAAGGTTTAAGGAATATCTCACTCAAAAATATCATTTCTGTCATCATTAAGTGTGTATTTTGTTAACAGGCTGGCTGATGAAGATGACCGTATCTGTTCCTGAGGAATTAAACGGACTGATGGATGAACCTGCTTATGAGAGATACATCAAATCTATAGAGGACTAGATCGTTCTGCTGGCATGTTGCATATGGGGGAAAATTTAAAAAGAATCTATTAAGGAATGTTTATTTCTTCATCAAATGCATTTTGCTTGTAGTTCATTCTTCTAAAATATATTTTCCCTGCAACCCACACCCAACCAGTGGACATGGTCACAACATTATGCACTTCGCTTGGAAAACAAGCAGGCCTGGTTTGATTGAGCCCGTTACTTTGTTTGTTTCTAGCCATGGAGATCTGAAGATCAAATATGCACAGCTTATGTAACAGTTTCTTCTCATTTGTAGATGTCACACTGTTCCTGTGAAAGTTTGTTATTGCTTGGAGTAAGCTACAAATAAAATGTGGAAGTATGAATAACACTTAAAGTCCAATTTGAGGACAGTTATGAAATCTGTTGGTTTTGAGGACTCACAATTGAGTGAAAGTGATTAACATCATTAAACAACTATTTAAAACTCTTATTGGATTTAAATGGTTTTATTGCATTATAAATGTTGCTTTGGAGTCAAATGTGCTTCTCAGATCTAATGTATGAAATATAGAACCCAAAATGTCTGCAAATTAAGGGTATTATTGTTTTAAGAAATACATTAAAGAAAAAAATTCATAAATATGTTAAATATAGAACAGTTTTCAACACCGTGATGGATGTGCTAACAAGCCAAGAAATGTGCTCGTTGTATTTATAGTGAACATGCAAACAGAATGCACAATATTTACTTCCTAATATAGTTGCTCGCCAGTCAAAATAATATCAAAGGTCTCTATTGTTCTGATTTCTAAATATCAGGTCCCTCCTTCAATGCAATGAATGAATAGGACCTTTTATTTTAATTTTTTGCAACCACCGGGTGAAAACCTTAAATCGGACAGCTTAGAAAAGTCTAAATTGGTTATTTGTACTGAATTATTTACCAAAGTAAGACTGTAAAAAGTCTATTTTATAGTCTATATCTAAAAGTATTTTTTTGTAAAAGTTAAAGGCACTAAGAGCTGGAATACACTACACGACTTAAAATTGGAACAGATTTCTTATTCATTTACAAAGCAAAACCTGGCATCACACTTCCATACCAGACTTTCATTCCGAACACAAGCTAAGGTAGAAACAGGAGCCTCGTTGCTAGGAGACGCGTGACAAATAAAAACAGTATGTGTAAAAACTGGCTCAAAATATGTGATATCTCTGACTGGATGAAATCATAGTCTGAAGCTAAAAAATATCTGTGAATTTGTGCCCATCTTGCACTGCGTGAATATGTGTGAAATCTGTCAACTCCCGAAAATCTGAAGACTTGCTGCCTTTCACCAACTGTCTTTCACCAACAAATTATGCAGAAGTCATTTACTGTATTCCAGCCTTCATGTCATTCTGTTGTTATCTGTGGGGAACAGCGACACCCCCAGGCACTTTGCTGTAAGGGTCTCTGGTTGGGGTACGCCTGGCCCGGCCACGTGAGGCTGTGGGCTGAGGTAGACCCTCCAGAAGACAACAGTCCCTCTCTAACCTCTCTCTACGCTGTGCAGTCTCACACATCACGCTGGCTGTGAAGTCTCGCTCGTTGAGGAAGGCAATGGTTTCATCCCGTTTGCGACTGACGTAGCCCTTTAGCACAGCGTTGTACGGGTTGTCCTGCCTGTCTGGATCCTCCGAATGGTGTTTAAACTCCATGCGGGTGATGACTGGGAGGAGGAACCCATTTCCTTCATGCCTTACAACATCCCCCATACTGCCCAGAGCTTCCTGTACCAGCCTGGCAGGCAGAGGCACCAGATCACAGCCTGATCGCTGGTCTATAAACTGTCTGAAACGCCTCCGCACTGATGCAACATCCTGTAGAGACTGTGCACGTCGCTCCTCAAGGTCAGTAACAACCCGCTCTGGGTAGTTACCCCCTAAAACCACACCTGTGAGCAGAAAGCAAACCTTTGTAATGCGACATCTTTCAGAGTGAAACAGAATAACAATATATATCACAATATAGTCATTTTTTGCTGGAAATAAGGTTATGATGCCAACATTTTAAATGATTTTAGATTACATTAAAGCGGCAAAATCCAAATTTCCCCCAAATATTAATGTTCACTTTAGACTCAACTTAATACTCAAGACTGGTATTTAGATATTATGCTGGTTTCTGGTTTGCTAGTCACCAGCATCATGGGAAGCGGGAGTGCTGGTGGACCAGCTACACCAGCTCAGTTTTGCTTGAGAACAGCTGGTCCACCAGCTAGACCAGTACTATATCTAACCAGTACTATATGAATTCCAACATGGAATTCATGCTGGTTTATGCTGGATTTTTTTTAGCAGGGGTGTTTATGTAAATACACACCAAGATGAGGCATTTAGACATAAGTATTTGAAGCTCAATAAACCGCAAAAATGAATGCAATTCAGTATTTACATGCAGGCGGCTTTCTGCTCTCTGTCAAGTCTTATTGCACTTAAGTGGTTTAAAATTGTTCTGATGTCTCTGGTGCTCTTCACATGGTGGTTAAAAATTATTATTTTATTTTTTTCAATGAAATTAATGTACTATTTTTTGGGGGGTATTTGTATTTTTAGGGGATTTTATGGTACTGAATTACATTTATGCAGTAGTTATAATAAATTTTTTCACATTTTGTCTGTCATAAATCTTGAATGATTTAGACTCAGAGCACAGACTTAAGTTTGATCTCTTTTCAAAGACAACACTTGGCAAATTATTGCTGAAGTGAAAAAAGTTATAAAAAAAAGTTAACTTTAAAAAGGTTGCAGAATTTTCCATTTATTGTTGTGTAAAATGCACAAAAATACTACATTTTTTATGAAATATATATTTTCAAAAACACGTTTTACTCTAAAACCGCAAGAAAATCATAAATTTACACAAATTTTAGCTTGATATCTACAAAAAATTAGCTTTCAGTAAGATTTTGTTTGGCCCCAGTTCCAAAAGTTTTCACTAGATGAAATTAGTCTTCCATTCATTTCCAATGCAGTCATTTTAAAATAAAGCATTATAAAATGACCATTTTATATGTGATATTAACAGTATATCTCATTTAATCTGTCTCAGTTTGAGATAACCGTGAGCAGATTAGCATAACACACCTGCCCTACGCAGCATTGACGCTGGACACTTCCAGGGCTTATGGATGAGGTCATCAGGAAGGGCCTTCAGTTCAGGACACCACTGCCGCACATAGGTGCCATAGGGGTCACAGGTCAGTGCTGCATCAACAGGGTGCATGACGAAGTTCCAATGATCCAGTCCACACATTCCTCCATTCTGCCACATCATGGCATCTATGGCAACATCAGCATCCAGCAGCGTGTCCTATAAAATGGAGAAAAAGTGTTGAGATGCTGTGTTCAATGGTCCATTACAGGTCATTTCTCACAGTGTTGACCCATTTTCTATCATTAAACCAGAAACTCAATGAGTGAAAGCTAAACTCGCCAGCACAATGCTACTGTGATGCAGGTGGTTCCCAGGGTGTTGCTATCTGGTTTCTTGGGTACTTTGGCTGGTTGCTAGTAAGTTGCTAGGTGCAGTGATGTAAAGTATTGGAGTAAATGTAATTAGTTACTGTACTTTGGTATCTTTTTGGCTACATTGTAGTTTGACTGAGTATCAAAGATATACATTTTACTTGACTACATTTTTTAATAAGTATATGTACGCTTTATTCCAATACATTTGTGATGAGTAAGTCAACGGCTGTATCCGAAACGCATACTTTCCTACTATAGTAGGCAAAAAACAGTATGTGATAAAAGAGGTATGTCCGAATTCACAGTACTCTCACAGTGAGTTCACGAGAGCGCCATGAAGAATGCGCGAGAACTGAGAAGATGGCGGTCAAAATGATTTGATGGGAAAGTGTGAAAGGTAAGCCATTCATTTTGCAGCATTGGTAAGGCACTTTTACGTTTTCTCGTTGGTTTCTCACGATTCGGACATCCAGAAAGTGCACACTTTAGAACCATTTTAAACACTACATCGAGACCCATCTGCGTCATCTTCTCAGTTCTCGCTCTTGTGAACCCATGTCAGAGGCCCACACAGAAGAAAATTAGGTAACGCTTCCTTTTACAGTCCTGTTACCCATGTACTTACTATGTACTTATTATAGTAATTATAATTACTGGGTAATAACTAGGTACTAACCCTGAACCTACCCCTAAACCTACCCCTAACCCATGTACTTACCTTATATTAGCCAGTACTTTCTAGGTAAGTACACTGTAAGTACACGTAAGTACTGTACTGTAAAAGGAAGCGTTACCGAAAATTAATAGTTGAATAAAGTCGTTATTTTTCGCACAAAAAGTATTCTCGTCGTTTGTAAAACTTAAGGTTGAGCCACTGTAGTCACTTGGACTATTTTAACGATGTCTTTACTAACTTGGCAGATGCAATTACCTAGCAGCCTATGAAGGAGTGAGACAGCTCTCAGATTTCATCAAAAATATCTTAATTTGTGTTCCGAAGATGAACGAAAGTCTTACGGGGTTGGAACAACATGAGGGTGAATAATTACTGACAGAATTTTCATTTTTGGGTGAACTAACCCTTTAATACTTATAGTTAGGGGTATTACATTAGCTGTAGCATAACATTATATAGTCAGCTCTAAATCAAAAGAATTATGAGAATACATTTGGTGTCTTCTGTATGTGTCACCTGAAACCAGCGGTATCCTTCTTGCCAGGGAAAATGCAAATAAGCAATGAGGAAGGAGGCCACCACATGTCTCATGTAGTTGTTCATCCAGCCAGTTTGCCACAGCTGTCTCATTGCTGCATCTACCAGCGGGTACCCTGTGAATCCACGCTGCCAGGCCTTCAGATGGGCACGGTCTGAACTCCAGCGCAAAACCTGCATTGGGTAAAACATTTTGAGTATACAAATGTAATCATGATGATAATCGCATTACTAGACACACAAATTCTGATGATTGTCAATGCAAAAGTCGCCACCAAGATTCTAGGATGTTGCTGGTGGTTGCACTCTCAAAAAAAAGGTACAAAAGCTGTCACTGGGGCGCTACCCTTTCAAAATGTATGCCTTTGTACCTAAAGAGTGCATATTAGTACCTCAAACGTACATACTGGTATCAAAAGTGTACATACTAGTAGCCTACCTGAATGGTACATATTAGAACCTTTTTAAAGGGTACCATTTTTTCTGAGAGTGCATTAATAAGATCTGAATGATATCAATCCACAATCTGATTTGTGATGCAGCCTGGAATCATAATCACAACCTGTTCATTCATTGGGCCTACTGTCTCCCAAGGTTTTTTTTCTCCGTTTCTCCATCTGATGGAGTTTGGGTTCCTTGATACTGTCCGCTATGGCACTGGGGACACTTAATATTTAGTAGTCGTATTATTCAGTTGACTTCACTGACAGTATTGGATGAAAACAAAACTTGAACTGAATTGAGCTGGATGATAACATCACTGTTTTCAGCTGTTTTATAGCTTAATTGAACTCATTTCTTAATTGATGAAGTTTTTAAACTGAACTGAATCAATACTGAACTGACTTCAGCTGAATAATGACACTATTGCCTTAGAGCTGCTTTACAGCAGAATTGAATTCTGTTTGCATCATTGATATTTATTTACCTGTTCATTGCTGAAAAACTGGTTTGAAACAATCTAGTGTAAAGCGCTATATAAATATCTCCTCAAGTCACATGATTAATTTGACACCAAAATCCCATCCTAACTGCAATGATACTGGCAAGACATTATTTTGCTCTTTCCATACAAGCACAAGCATTGAGTGGGAATAATAAATGCGAATCTTGCCTTATACGGTGGCCTGATGGACTCCCAGGGCAGGTCTGGGAAAAGGCACAGCTGCCAGTACGCCAGGTCCCTCCAGGACAGTTTGCGCTGGAATTTGGGAGATCTGCAGCGAGCTCCACGGGCGTCCCATAATAGGCGGCGTGCACTCAGCTGCCCAAAGTGCAGATATGGAGATATAGAGCTGGTGTTTGGGGCATCCGCTCGACTTGACTCCTTTTCATAACGGTACACACCTACAATGAAGTCAATTGATGAGTGCAAAATGATGGATGGGCTTGTAATACTACCAAATTAAAACAAACATGCACCTTGGAAATGTGTCTTACCATCTCGCAGGAAGGCCTCAAGATGGGCCTGAGCTCCTTTTTCACTGAAGTCCCATGATTTCCGAATGTTCACGGCCCAGTCAATCTGTCAGTACCATATAAATAACAACAGCAATTAGATCTTAGGGGCCGTTCACACAGGACGTGTTTTTGCATTCCACTGTGCTACTTTTGCATTGCGTGTAAACATGCTAGATGGTAGTCTTTGACAGTTGCGATCATGACTTGCATCATTTGCATGACACGGTGTTTTAAAAAACACAGCACTCAGGTTAAAATAAGTTAAACTTTTAAAAAATGTGCCTCAAGACCTTGTGATTTCTTCCATTTTACTGGTTGCGTCTTGTGTTTTTCAATGAAATAATGTTCTCTGTGTGAATGGCCAAGTTACATGAAGAGAGATCGTTCTGATGCATATATAATATAACTAATATAAAACAGGCGAGAAGATGGATGGCCGAACACTGGATTCAGTACAGACTACAGAAGTCTATCAAAACTTTTATTTTATTTTATGAATTGCATCATGCAAAAAGTGCAAAGTGAATTAAAAACAAATGAACAGGAGCAAACGTTTCAGCACATTGCTATCTTCAGTGCTTCGAACAATTGTTGTTATATAACAATAAAACACATTTATCATAGTAAATTCAAATTATAATACAAAGGAAATATTTTTTATTAAAAGTCAAATGTGATACACATTTCAACATCAATATTCTTTTTTATTCTAAAACATGAACCCCCAGTTTCACAGACAAGGCTTAAAGGGGTCATATAATGGTACATGCACTTTTACAAGTTGATTGTACTGAAATGTGTGTTGGCAGTGCCTGTACACAGTCATCATATAATGATAAAAATCCATCCAGTGTTTTTTTTTAAATCTCTTTATATGTTTTCCCCTGCCTCAAATCAAGCCGTTCGACCGTGTGACGTCACACGGTCGGACGCCCCTCCCATGATTGTTGATTGACAGCAGCGTTTCAACACAGACCCGCCCTCGCTCGTGAGCGAGCTGTCAATCATAGTCCGCGCGGACCGGACCGGTCATTGTTTAAACGCTGGAGCACTGTCTATGAGCAGAATGGCGTCTAAGCGATTGTGATGTTCTGTTCTTGGGTGTAATAACGAACACAGTCATTTTGATGTTCCTAAATCCGAACCGCTGAAGACGCAGTGGATGAGTTTTGTTTTCGAAGGGAATATTCCCCACGAGCAACGTCAATGCTTTCATGTTTGCGCGAATCATTTCTCACCAGACTGCTTTATAAAGGAGGGTCAGTATAAAGCTGGTTTTGCTAAGAAGCTGCTCCTGAAAAAAGGATCGGTACCAGCTATTCGTGTTCCTGCTGAACCTCCAGAAGAACTGAAGTGAGTGTAACGTTTTATTAACCTTTATATTCATATTTATATTAATCTTTGCAAATCGCTAGCTGCACGCTTCACAGTGAATGCGTATAAGGTTTACACTCAGGGTACATTACGGCGTACGACGTTCTCAATATAATTCATAATCCCACGTCTATAATGAACAACGCGTTATGGTTATTGTGTTATTGTGTTACTAACGGTGTGCACAGAACAGAGGGGCGGAGTGAGCAAAGCTCATTATCATTTAAAGTCATATGCACTGAAACGGTGTGCTGAAAACAGAGCTGTTTTTGACCAGGTAAAATAAGTGTTTTCTTACAATACTAATGAGAATTTTGAATTAAAGTATATTAAAAACTTTTAATTTAGACCCTAAAGAATCATATTAGCTTGTACAAAAATGGCATTATATGACCCCTTTAAGACTAGTCCCAGACTAAAATGCATGTTTGAGCTGTTTTAACTGAAAGCAACTTAAAATATCTTAAAATATATCAAGTGTCATTGTTTTGTCTCAAGATGCACAGCAGTAACGTTTACTATAAAAGCTCCACGTTTATAAAAGCTACTTACAGTATACTGTATGTCCAAACTGAACTAAGGCCAAATCCTTAGTTTAGGACTAAGCAGTGTTTGTTAGTGGTGGTTTGAATATTTCACCTCTGTGCCATCTTTCCTGCGTGGCATGCGTGCAAGCTCCAGATCAACAAGCGGGCATCCCTGCGGCCATGTTGAGGGTGCAGGCAGGGCACTGGGGGCATCCAGTGGAGCTCCCAGTCCACTGCCAGGGTTCTGCTGGCAGCAGCTCATAAAGTGAGAGACAGAGCCGATACCTGCAAATATATGTAGAAAATTTTAAGACTAGCACTTTAAAAGATTTTGGTGGTGCTTGCCCTGGCAACAGTCACCGCCATCAAGGTGTAGTAAGCTTAAAAATGATGCCTTTGGAGGATGCATCAAGGCACATCCGAATCCGATATTAGTTTTACTTCCTGTCTAATGAATTTAGACTGTTTAAGCCTTCAAATTATGTCATTTATGATGATCTCTAAAATATGGGGGGAAAGGCGATTTAAAAAAAAAAGAGCGCCAAGCATCCTGCTAGCAGGACATTGACAGTTAACAGGTTAAACAACATTTCAGAAATCTTGTAATACAAAACAATTTTCTTAATTAACTGTGATTAATCAACAGGGGAAAATATGGTGAGCTGCTGCACTGCATTACCCACCTCGTAGTCCAACGCCCCGTGTGGTGACCGCATAGGGGTCCCTAAGGCAGTAGGAATGGTAGATGTGACAATTAACACCTTGTTTCTCCAGTGTCTCCCACACGCTGTCATCTCTTTCTTTTAACCACGGTTCATACAGGGCCGTTGCCACGACCGATGCTGCCCCTGTCTCAGCGATCAACCCCTGCAGCGCTGTCAAAGATGAGGGCTCTGCCTTCAAGGTCACCAAGTGGCTTCCAAGCTGCTCTAGAGAGAGGGTCAGACTAACTAGTGCCTGATGCAGCCAGTATTTACAGGCCCCGCCGGATGCCACAGTAACCCCTGGACCCTCCTCCTCCACTGCATTCCACAAAAAGACTGGTATGACTGGTCCACCAAGCTCCAGGCAGCCAATCAGAGCAGGGTTATCCCACATGCGGAGGTCCCTTCTCAACCACAGCAGAACGGGTCGCGGCCCCGATGGGTTTTTCAACAGAAGTTCCTTCTTACGCAGACGCCTTTGTGACCTCTTTGACTTTGTGACTTTGAGATCATCATTGTCTTTATTTATGTTTTTAATGGCACATGTATTTTTATGTACTTCAGTATCTAGTGTCAATTTTGTAATAGGCTGGTTGACTTTTGGCTGATCACCACCTGAAGTTACTGTTGTCATGTCAGCATAGCTTTTGTAACAGGAAGGCATATGAGGCTGATGGTCTGAATTCTGCTGCCTAAAATCTGTTTTGATGTGTTTGGTTTCATTGAGAGACAGTGTTAAGGCCAACTCTAATTCATCTGCTTCATCCTGAAAAACAAAAACATAAAAAACAAAAAAATATCTTTAACATTAGCCTATACAAACAACAGCTAACTCTTATTATGCACTAGCCTATATTATGCAACAGATATTTAAATCTGTATTGAAAACCCCTGAAATGTAGATGCGAAAGAAGTCTCTTTCTCACCAATGCTTCATTTATTTGATCAAAAATACAGCAAAAACATTTTCAATTGTAATAATATTTCACAATATTACTCTAACACTTTTCTATGTTAATATATTTTAAAATATAATTTATTCCTGTGATGTCAAAGCTGAATTTTCTGCATTACTCCAGTCTTTAGTGTCACATGATCCTTCAGAAATCATTATAATATGCTGATTTGCTGCTCAATAAACATTTATTATTATTATCAATGTTGAAAACAGATGTGCTGCTTAATAGTTTTTTTGGAAACTTTTTTTTCAGGATTCTTATTGATATAAAGTTATTCATAGAAATTTAAAAAGAACATTTAAAAAAAATATTAATAGACAGTTATAAAGAACAGCATTTATTTGAAATAGAAAGCTTTTGTTACAATGTAAAAGTCTTTACTGTCACTTTTGATCAATTTCATAGGCACCATTCTTATAAAATAAATAATTTCTTTAAAAAGGACACTCCTGTCAGTGTCACTACCTTACGCCATGTCATCTACCCAGACCTATACTTTATTTAGGTATTTGACTGGTCTCTGTTTTATACATTTTTATTGTAGGCTATATTATTAAATAAATTTGACAGACAGACATACATACATAGGCCACACACACACACACACACACACACACACACACACACACACTACCTTAGAGAAGTACTCCAGAAAGATTGCAGTCAGCTGACTGTGTAGATGTTCATGTCCGGATGAAAGGGGTTCGATCATGTCCAGAAAGTGTGTACGGGTGTCTGTGTCCCCCAGCAGAGACAAACACAGACAGAAAAACCCGTCCGGATCCTCACGACCCAACATCACCTCTCTCAGGAGTTCACGGACCTGAGACACGGACTTCATATCTTTGCCTACAGACATTCTCTTTGACCAAATCCGTCACTTTTCAACGCAGTAAATATATAATAATAGTCAAATAAATTATGTCAAAATCATTTGCAACAGTTTGCGTCATAAAAAAAACACCCCTGACAGGTAGCCTAAAATCTATCCGTGAGTCGCGTTACAAAACGAACGAATGAATGACGAGTTGACAGGTTACAAAAGAAGCCGCTGCTGGGGTTTCATAACTACAATCGGCGGCACAAACCCCACCCCACAGGGTTTACTTCTATTTATAACATGCTTCATTATCGATACATCTTAAATGTATATAATCCTGGATTGATTACTTACATTAAATACATGAACTTTAGTATCGTATGGTGACTATGTAACAGCGTCTCTCCAGCAGAGTCTCAAGTGCGAGGCGGTGCTGAATGTGCTGTCTGACCAATCACAGTCGAGCATAATACAGAGGCTCCTCCCCCTCAGTGAGGCACGTGTTAACCCAAACACACGAGAGAAAATTCACCAGGAGCATTTTAGGCAGAGAAACAGACAGGTATTTAACAAACATTTCAAAAACATTTTCTGTAATTGTGGATAAATACAGCATATGAATATCTCTCTTAAAACAAATGATGAACTCTGACTAGATTTTAAAATTAAGTTATTCTGAAAAGTATGTATCAGTTTGTCAAAAATAAATAAGCAAAAGAAATGACATTTTCATGTTTTATATATATATATATAAGATTTTCTGTCTTCAAATATATAAAAACACTTCAAATATCAAGCTACATGGAAAAAAATCTCTCTCTCTCTCTCTCTCTCTCTCTCTCTATGAGAGAGAGAGAGAGAGAGAGAGAGAGAGAGAGAGAGAGAGAGAGAGAGAGAGAGAGAGAGAGAGAGAGAGAGAGAGAGAGAGAGAGAGAGATTTGTTTCCATGTAGCTTGATATTTGAAGTGTTTTTATATATTTGAAGACAGAAAATTGCAGTTAAGTGTTGTACCAGCAGGGGGTGATGGTCTGATGTCATCGATTAATAATACCATCTAAAATTATGCTACCGCAGTGGCAAAGATAATATTAAAGTTAACAATAAGAAATATTTCAAATAGATACCTGTAGTAGAATATATTGTACTGGTGGTAAATATCAAATAATTTTGGTATCTCCTAAATATTATACAAATAAAGATACTACAAACATTTTACTAATATTACTAATTAGTTCATTAAAAAAAATATTTCTCAGTTGCTTAAGTGCACCTTAAAACATCCATTCACTCTCTTCGAAGCTCAGACACTATAGGCCTACACACAGAGAGAGAGAGAGAGAGAGAGAGAGAGAGAGAGAGAGAGAGAGAGAGAGAGAGAGAGAGAGAGAGAGAGAGAGAGAGAGACATTCACAGCACAGCACATGATAAAACAATGTGTTACTATCTTTTTCTTTCATGTGTATTGACTTACAAGTGGACTAAAGCCTTTCTAAAGAGGAACAAATAGCTTTAAAATGAAAATTGAACAGGGAGCTTGTGTTTGAGGACAGTGTAATCAATAATGTTTAGACGGTAGAACAAGTCTAACAGACAGCAGATCAATAGAGAGGAGCCCCCACCTCCCTCCCCCTCTGTCCCACTGACCTCATCGTATGATCTGATCAGGTCTTTATTTAAAGCTCTGCGGCTGCTGACTGAAGGCTCGATTACAGAGAAACAGTGTGAGAGTGACCAGAATAGCAGTTAACCAGTTCATTGGGGCAGGGGAAAAAAAAATCTGAATGTCACATAAAAACACAAATAAACTAGACTTTCTAGACTAAACTAGAGGTCATTGCTCAAACGAAACTCATTGCCATGAAACAAGGCTTTGTAGGTGGTTTCCAGGGCGTTGCTATGCAGTTGTTCAAGTGTTGGCTTTTACATAGGGCTGTCAAAATTAACTTTAAAACTTAATTTTTTGATTTTTTTTTCTTCAGTTTAACGCATTAAAAATATTTAAATCAATTAAAGCAGCATCCGTTTTTTCTGTCATCCTTTGACTGCGCTATAGCTATTATTATGCTATCATTCATTCAAGTTCTATTAAACCATTCAAGAGTGATAAGAAACGAAAAAAAGAACTCAGAAAACCACTTCACAGCAGCACGCCAGTGCTGCATTGAATTCTCTTTCGCGCTTGAGCGTACAAAAACACACAAAATTATGCAAAAATTCCCGTTTTGTCGATTATCCTCGTAAGCACAGTATTAAATGAGTTAAAAAGGTGTTAAATGAATGTTAACTGTAAAGAGTTGTGAGAAAATAGAAGGTGTTTCAGTCAGGTCTTAAAGACCCACTCCGATGAAAATAATGTTTTTCTAGGTGTTAACATGTTCTTGTGGCATTTTTCTTATGTTAGAGGACATATCTTGAGAAAAATAAGCTCAAAGTTGTATTTCTGAGTACCGTATTTCTACATTCAAATGGCTGTGAATCAGTAGCAGACGCTAAAATGCCGTTTAAAATAGACTGGAGTTGTGACGTAACTCCACTGGGCGGGGCCACAAGCTTGTTAAAATTAATCGAAAGTGCCCCTCTCAAACAAATATCAATGATAATATTGTTTTCAATAAAACAAAATGCATTTGATTATAATTAACATGACAATGTGACAAAATTCACGTTTACTTGTATGTTTCTGTCGGTTTGAGCTGTCGTTGCCATGACTCGTTGCTATGGGTGGCGTCACTTGCGTGTCTTGCATCGGACTCGACTGAAGGGGTCAGTCTCCGTTTTCGAGGCCGAGGGTCAGTAATGTGGACGGCAGGAGCGCATAATCGTTGCAAAAGTTATGCGTTTTAAAACGAAAACGCACTGTACGGCTGGATAGCTCCAATATTGCTCTCAATTTTTGTTGCACCGGTAATGACAGGTTGGGGGTGTAAGCTAGCGGGAGAGACAGAGCTCTCAGCAACGGGCAGGGGGAGGGTCATCTCCGTGCCAACGGCTCCGCCCACAAAGCAGAGGCGAATTGCTAATGAGCTACTGCCGCTCTGCTGAAGCAAAGTCCCAGAAAACGGCACAGGTTTTGTGAGTTTGGCTAAAAATGGCATATTCATAATTTAAAGACCACTGGGAATGTTTACAAATGGCTCAAAATATGATCGGAGTGGGACTTTAAAGTGACAGCAGCCTAATAAACCTAATAACACAAAGACAAAGAGAAAATCTCTCACTGCTCTTTACTGAATAACTTCTGTAGCTTTAATGAGGATTCATCTATATTCAATGTATAATTTGAGCATAAAATAAATTTGTGACATTTTTGACGATGGGTTTATGCGTAAAAATTTTTTAATTAACTTTTAAATTAAAAGTTGTTATATGGCTTTATATAATTAATGGGGAAAAAATCAATTTAGTAAAGACTGTTACTGCCTTCATTCAGCTACTAAAAAGATGACATTAAACAAATATTGAAATTATACTGTCTTTATGTTGTTTCTACATTATTTGGAGATTCAATGTATTACAATATAGAAATATTACAATATAAAAATATAAAAAACTTTAATGTTAGGTGTGATTAATCGCAATTAACTACAGAAAAATGTAGTTTTAAATCGATTGACAGCATTTAAAACAGTGTAATGTGGTTGCTATAGGCTAAAGGGGTTCTACAATAAATATATTATGCTGGAAAAACAGAGAGAGTAGGGAATTAAAGGAAATAAAAAGATGAGTAAAGGGAATGAAGCTATATCAAGTGGAGTCATATGGAGCGTGTTGCCATGGAAATGTGGGGAGTGATTTCAATTGGCTGCTTTTGAGTCTGACCTCTGATTGCAGTGAATGGTCATTCACAGTGGTATGTATGAGGTGACATTTTTCTCAGTGCTGAAGATCTCAAACCAAAATCTAATGCACTGTGCGCTCTTTATTTTCTATAGGTTCTATTCTGCATGTTTTCATGTGCTGTAAGTGTGTGTCTGTGTGCATCCGTCTCTCTTAAGCCTCTTTTTCTCGCTCTCTCATTAACGCTCCGCTCAGACGCTGTATAGCAGGTGACAGGGAGAACTAATCGCTCTGAAGATTAAAAATAAATGAAGAGAAACGTGTTTTAGAAAAACGATGGAACGAACATCATAAATCATCCAGCATGGATCAGGTTCCTCCTCACTGTCCGCACACTGACACACACGCAGACAAATTACATTACTGAAATCACATTACTGCTGCCTTTCAGGAAGGACGCGAGAAGGGGAAAAGAGAGAGAAGGTGACAGAGAGAGAGAGAGAAATAGTCATATTAGATGAGGCTTTAAAGTGATAGAACTGGGGGAGAAAGGAAAACAGAGAATTTAATATCCAAAAGCTTCCGTTAACTGCTAAATAATAATAAAAATAACATTTGCAGTCCCCATAAAAATTATATTAATTAATATTATTATTAGCTATTATTTTGCAGTCTACACAAGCTTTAATATATATAATAGCACTGCAAAATAATAATTTTGATTTTAATTTAATAAATAAATATTTTAATTAAAATGTATAATTTCTTTTGTTATTAATATAGTTTTTTTTAAATATGTTGAATTATTTATATTAGGTAGATTGTTATAGACATCTGCTTTTATAATTCTAAAAATGCACGATAATTTAATGATAAGGCTCGTTTGAATTTGATATGATTTTTTTGTTGCATAATGTAAAAGTTTTTATTGATATTAGCAACATTTTTCAATCAAGTTTGTAATCATTAATCTTGGGCTTATATAATGGAGCTGATGATGTGACGCCGTATAGCATCTCTATGGTAGGGATGAAAAAAAATCATCTAGAGTTTGTGTTCTAGCATTAAACATTCTGCATACTTACCTCACAGTCACAGGGCATTAGTTTAATGCCTATGGATGCCTCAAATAATGAGTTTGCAGCAGGCTGCAGTTTTATAAACGTCCTCTGGAGGTCACTGTTTGACAGTGAGTGCTGCATCCGAATCACAGCCTGCAGAGACAGAGAGAGAGAGAGAAGATAGAATATGTCAGACATTATTTGTGACTTTTTGTCATAGCTGTATGTGTTTGTGTTTATGTGCTCAATTTTCTGTGTTTTTCGAGAGGCGCTGTTAAAGGACAAATGGACAAAGAAAAAAATAGCAAATAAATAAATGAACAGAGTAACAACAGTAGGCAGAACAAGAGGAATCAGGGGAGAGAATAATCCTTTGTTCTCCTCTGTTCACTTGGAGCGCGTGTCTGACTCCCTATAGGCGGAATTTCATTTTGCAGCATCTCACAGACACAC